GGACAGAGTAAGAATGTGTCAGAGGGTTGTGGTATGTTAAGCACTTTTTCAGTTATTTTATCACAGGTATTTGCACAACAGAGCGACAGTTACTCCATTTTCACCAGAAAATTGAGTTATGTAACCTGGAGGTTCAGTTTTAGACTGCAGACTAGTTTTCTCTTTTGTTCAGCAGTTTTTATGGTTTCTAGATTAAACAGCATCCAAAACCCTCTCTAAACATTATAGGTCAAGAACAGGTAACATTTAAATGATATGTCATCTCTGTATTTTGCCAAACAAGAGACATAACTGTCAGATATTGCATTACAGGTATTGCGTTAAACATCAAGCTATTTCCTAAATGATGAAATAAATAGTTTCTTATTGTTGCCAAAAGATCAGCACCAGATTATATGCAAATAAGTCATATTTGCATTTTATCGTTTTATAAGACCACCCTACTACTTGTAGTCTTGCTAAGTCATTTTTTATACAAACCCAACATGTTTAAAGACATGAAAAAGTCCCCACATTTCATTAAGAACAGGGAAAATGCCAGCGATGAGAGGTGGGAGGGTACATTCCACGTAGTTTCATCACCAGTTTTGTATTCAACACTCCCATTCAATACGTGTGTATATAAAGAGATCTGTGGTGCTAAGTTGCATTAACACAGCAGCTCTTCAGGGAAACTTTGTGATCAGCAGAGGTAAGACAAATATATTTAAAAGTTGTTGAAAAACAGAAACAAACAAGAATCTTCTAGTTGTAGTTGTTATATCAATTGAATTTGTCTGTTTCATTGTGATCCAGTAGCATTCATCAGTTTGTAAAAGTTTTGTTAGTTATCAGGACGATCTTTTTGAATTGTATTATAATGAAATGGAACAACCAACCAGTCAGTGTTGATGATGGTTGTTTTTCACTCTCTTGGCATCAAGGTGGATCAATTTTCAACAGCAAAAATGGTGGATTATGAAGTAACTGTGTACACCGCCAATCGCACCGCTGCCACCACTTTCAACAATGTCTTCATTAAGCTGGTTGGCACAAGTGGGGAAAGTGAACGCAAGTGGCTGTTCAACTTGAAAGGAGCTTCAGCATTTGTCAGAGGAGCTGTAAGTCTGAGAGATTGTGCTTCAAATTCAAATGTAGAGCAGCTTTAGACCAAGAATCACAAAATCACTGTCATTTATTTCACAACAGGGTATGTGTTAATGCCATAAAGTTATCGCATTGTTTCATGTAATGCATCCTGGAGAAGCACGGGGGCTTGCAAAAGTATTTAAGGTCACTGAATTTTTTCACATTTTCTCATGCTACAACCACAAACTTCATTATATTTAACTGGGATTTTATGTGATAGACCAACACAAAGTAATGCATAATTAGGAAGTGGACGGAATAGGGTATATAATTATAAAAATGTTTTGAAAACAAAATGAGAAAAAGGTGAGTCATGAATTTGCTCCTTTAGGTCTAAACAACCTTCATTTTCTGTAACTACAGCTGGTATTATTTTAACGTACATCTCTGCTAGCTTTGCAAATATACAGGCTGATATTTCTCTGTTGTTATGTACAAAATATATTTGAGCTTGATACTCTAATGTAGATGAGTATTCATTGACCTAACCCTTTCTGTCGCTGCTGTGGCTCATCGTTTTTAACCTCTTGCTATAAATATGTACTTGAAGGTTTGTTTTTATGATTTCAAATTGTTGTTATTGTGTTAGGTGGCGTCTTTTACAGTTTCCTGCCCCATGTCCCTTGGCAAGCTGGTGCTGGTGGAGCTGGACAAAAAGCCTCTTTTGCTGTTCCCAGAAGATTCTTGGTTCCCAGCCAAAGTGGAAGTCAAATCCCCAGACGGAGACATTTACAACTTCCCCGTCTACCGCTGGATCAGTGACAGCAAGGTGCACCGCTTCAGAGAGGGAACAGGTCCGTCGAACAGCCGTAAATTCTGTTCAAAGTTTTATTTCTATTAAACTAGAGGGAGACAAGAGCAAATTAATACCAACACATCATCACATGATTTTTTTTTTTCTCCCTCTTTTCCCAGCCCTGAAAGGGTTCGAAGATAGTCATCATCTTGGCAGGTACAGCCGGGAACAGGAGCTCAAGCAGCGTCAGAAAGATTACTGGTGAGAAAACAGAGTGGCAAAAACACAAAAACCCCTTTTCCCTGTTTGGCTTTATATTTACAAGTGCATCTTATTAACTTGGAAGTAAATGTACTTCACCAATTCAATATTACACTGAAACTTGTTATATTATAAATGTCTAATTTATAGACAGACAGGTCTGTCTCGAGCAATTACAAATTGAAAACAGATACTATTTTTTTTCAAATGTTCTTAATGTACTTCAGAGAATATTTTGTGCGTTTCCTCTATAAGCACTGAGGTGGACAAATACACTTCTTCTATGAATATGATTGCAACAATACCAAACATGACCAATATTATTCAGAATGTTCTACAGAAACAAAAATAAACTGTAATAGGTACCGCTCCAAAAGATTGTCTGAGGTACTTGTACGCAATTACTCCCAGGTAAGATAAGAGTGTTCTATCTGTCATGGTGAAACATTAAGGCTCACAAAACAGCAGATTTTAAGTGGAATTAAAAGAAGGACAATAATATAAAGTACACTGAATATAATGTAACGATGTAAAACAACAAGGACTTATCCTATAAAAGG